GCTCCTCATTAAAATTTCTGCCTATATTAAGCAAAATGTTTTTCATTGTTATTGGGCTATTTTTCATTGTATGCCTCATTTCAAATTTTGATTCTCTTGAAATTCTCAGGAAATAAAGGTGTTTTAATATCAAAAGGGAGTTATAGTATACAATTATGTACATATATAATGCTACTGATATTTTAGGTATATTGTCAGAGAATTATATTAATGAAAGTCAGAATTAGCCTAAGCAATCAGCTTTTTGAAAAATTAATGGTTAAACAAGATGTAACAATTTGTAGTCAATTCTTTATAAATACTTACCTTACAATGTTACATTATACACAGATACTTTTTTTTTTTTTTAGAGGGCATCTCTCATATTTATTGATCAAATGGTTGTTAGCAACAATAAAATTCAGTATAGGGGGGTCAATGCTCAATGTACAATCATTAATCCATCTCAAGCCTAACTCTCATCAGTCTCCAATCTTCTGAAGCATAACGAACAAGTTCTTACATGGTGAACGAATTCTTATATAGTGAATAAATCCTTACATGGTGAACAGTACAAGGGCATTCATCACAGAAACTTTCGGTTTTGATCATGCAATATGACCTATAAACCATCAGGTCAAATATGAATATTCATTTGATTTTTGTACTTGATTTATATGTTGATCCCACATTTCTCCTATTATTATTATTATTTTTATTTTTAATAAAATGCTGAAGTGGTAGGTAGATGCAAGATAAAGGTAGAAAACATAGTTTAGTGCTGTAAGAAGGCAAATGTAGATGATCAGATGATCAGGTGTGTGCCTATGGACTAAGTATTAATCCAGGCTAGACAAGGGCAGCAAGACATCCACGGATGCAGAAGATTTCTCTCAAAGCAGGGGGGGTGAGGTTCTGAGCCTCACCTCTGTTGATCCCCAAATTCTCACCTGATGGCCCCCCTGCGACTGTGCCTGTCTTAGGTTGTTCCTCCCTTGAGGAATCTTACCCGTCTCTGGCTAACCAGTCATCTTCCGGGGCCATACAGGGAAATGTAAAGTTGGTAAGTGAGAGAGAAGCCATATTGTTTGCAAAGGTTAGCTTTTTACTTCTTTGCAGATTTATGCCCTGTGGCTTCTATGCCCAGCACTTGTCTCGAGGTATCTTTACCACCTGGAGGAATTATGATACTCGGTAAATTCGATATGAGGCACGAATTCTATTTAAGGTTTGTAATTAGGAAGGAAGAAGAAAAGCTATAGATGTAGCATATGAAGGAAACTTGGGAGGATTGATTATTTCTTTGACATATCTTCTTGTATAGTACCTTAAGTATGTATAGGTTTTAAACTACTAACTAATTTGCACACACATATTAACATAATAGGAATACGGTGACATAAACAAAGCAAATCTATAATTACCATCCATCTCCAGTGAAGCCAAGAAAACCATTTAGGCACCCTAGGCATTTGTGAAAATTTATCTATGATATGATGGATATTGTCCAACTGTACTTGAACCATCAGACAAATTAAAGCAGCCCATTTCTGGGATCTGTTCACATCCCATATGTTCTTTTAACCATAGATAGTCTATAGTCATGAGATTTTGGAGTGCTACAACTTGCACCCCTCCCAACTCCTGGTTGAGTTCCAACAGTACAGATCCGGTCAAATTCGTTGTCTCACTGTATGCACATGCCAGCCTAGACATCTCCCTCCTCATTCTTATGGCAAGTCCAGGAGACGGTGGGCTGGATGCAGCCACAACCGCAGCATCGTCCGGATCCCTGTGGAGGCTTTTTGATGATCATCCCCCGGCACGAGTCCTCCAGAGAGTGCTGATGCCGGAAGCTCCTCCTCATATCGTATCTTAGTTCATTTTCTGGGTATCCAAGCTAGGCCTTGATCTTCTGCATAGAAACAAACAGACCCTTTGCCCACACTTTGACATGTCCTCTATACCACAGTGCAGAACTCACTGGAAGTCAGCACACAGGGACTGCTTTTTTTTTTTTTTATTAAGAGAAAGGAATATTATCAGAAAAGAGTACCTCCATAGCTGATCATCTGACACCCTTTAAGTGATCAACATTAAGGATATTTAAAGCATGCGTTGTATACACAGATACTTTTTATTCTAAAAGATTGAAAATAATTCAGTTGTATAGTGAAAAGTCACTGCAGGACCCTTTCACTCTCTCCAACTTTTTTTGCCAAAGATAGCATTTGTCAGTAATTTGCTATGCAACTGCATACAACCCAAGGCATGTTTCTTAATATATTAAGGTACTAATTGCTAGAATTTAATATTTTATCCTCAAAATTTATTTTGAAAAATTAATAGAAAACACAGAGTGTTCACCATTCTAAATTGCTTATTTTTGCTACCTATTTTTTTAAGGAATAAAAGTTGAACTCTAACATGTATTCAAAGCAATATAAATATCTTTTTCATTTAAATAATTCACAAAAAACTATATTACTCTATTTATATCTTATTTCAGCTTGCTTTTTCCACTCAATAACTTTGTTGTTGAGGCATATTGTTAGTTTGAATATTTTAAATTTTCGGGTTTCTTTTTTTAAAAAAATACTTACTTTTAAAATAATGAGATATTTAGGCATGTGCATGAGGAAAACTCAAATTTACTGCATTCTGAAAAAGTAAGTTCCTGAGATTTCCTTTAACAATACCTTTGAAACACAGATAAAATTACTTCCTGTCTCTCAGTTTCCTGTATCCATGGTAACCCCTGTTTTATACACTGACTGTGGAGAAACCAATGTGAAGAGTGGTGTTTCCTGAGCAAACTGTGACTTAAAAAAAAAGAAAGAAAAGAAGGTGGAGGGGTAGAGGTCAACAGTGGCACAGAAAGAAATGGAGTTTAGAAATGTCGCTTTTCAGACTTACAAAGAAAACCTTTACTTGAATCAGCCGAGTGTTAATAATGTGAATTTCCTGTTCTTGGTAAGATTATTTATTTAAATGTGAACTTATAGTTGAAACAAAGAAAGCTTTGGTTTTGTGAAAAACTGTAGTTAAAATAGAGTTTAGTTCTGTTAATGGATTTGTATTTTCACGTATTGTAATGTTTTTTAATTGATATTAGACTTTAAGATACAGGGATATATTATATCCACAGACTGTCATCCTTACACCATCATTTGTCACTTTTATTATAGTCAGCTGTAATATTTTAAGTTAACTTGGCAAATTATTTCTTTTGCAGTTCGTGAAATTTGAATTGTCATTTTGTCAAACAGGTTAATGATCTGGAGGTGTTGATAATTCTAGAGCATATTCCAAATTGATCATTTTATGCTATCACCATAATTATGATTTATTTAGTGTTACTGGTTGATCCTAACAAAAAAAAAAATAGGACGCAGGATTTCTAGTATTATAAAATGTTTCATTTTAAGACATTTTGATGATTTAAAGTTTTACCTTCTTTTTTTATAGCCAATTCTGATATGAACAGAAAAACCAAGGGCTCTGTGTGGATTATGTTTTTCTCTGCCTTGCCTTCGACTGTTTCTACTTGTTATCTGTTGTCTTCTATTATTATTCCATAAAAAGATACTTGGATCTTTGTCTGTTTGCCAGCTCTGCACTGGGAGACAAATTAAATGCTGTAATTTAGACCTTTCAAGTATTCCTAAGAATTTTCCTGAAAGTACAGTTTTTCTATATCTGACTGGAAATAATGTATCTCATATAAATGAAAGTGAGTTAACAGGACTTCATTCTCTTTGTAGCCTTGTATTTGGATAATTCTAGCATTGTGTATGTATATCCAAAAGCCTTTGTTCAGTTGAGGCATCTATATTTTCTGTATAAGTAATAATTTTATAAAACGCTTGGATCCTGGAATATTTGAAGGACTTTCCATTCTTTATAATTTATATTTACAGTCTAATCAAGTATCTTTTGTTCTAAGAGGAGTATTTAATGATCTAGTTTCAGTTCAGTACTTAAATCTGCAAGGGAATCGCCTGACTGTCCTCGGGAGTGGTGCCTTTGTTGGTATGACTGCTCTTCGAATACTTGATTTATCAAACAATAACATTTTGAGGATAACAGACTCAGGCTTTCAGCATCTTGGAAACCTGGATTGTTTGTATCTAGAAGGTAATAATTTAACAAAAGTACCATCAAATGCTTTTGAAGTACTTAAGAGTCTTAAGAGACTTTGTCTCATAACCATATGGAAGCAATACAGCCCTTTACATTTAAAGGACTTGTCAACTTGGAGTATCTCTTCCTGAAAAATTCTAGAATTAAAAATGTTACTAGATATGGGTTTCCTGGAACTAATAATTTAAAACATTTGATCTTTAATCATAATGATTTAGAAAATTTAAATTCTGACACATTTAGCTTGTTAAAGAATTTATTTACCTTAAGTTAGAAACAGAATTATCAGCATTGATAATGATACATTTGAAAACATGGGAGCATCTTTGAAGATCCTTAATCTGTCATTTAATAATCTTACAGACGTACATCCAAGGGTCCTTAAGCCATTGTCTTCACTGACTCATCTTCAGGCAAATTCTATTCCTTGGGAATGTAACTGCAAACTATTGGGCCTTCGCGACTGGCTAGCATCTTCCGCCATTACCCTAAACATCTATTGTCAGAATCCCCCATCCATGCGTGGCAGAGCACTGCATTATATTAAGTGGACTGACTTTACAAATTGTATTACATCTTCTACAAATGTATCCAGAGCTTGGGCTATAAAATCTCTTCATATTCATCACAAGACCACTGCATTAATGATGGCCTGGCATAAAGTAACCACAAACGGGAAACATTTGGAAAATACCGAAAGCGTTACTTTCTGGGAACGAATTCGAACTTCTCCTGCTAGTAGATTTTTTCAAGAGAATACCTTTGCTAATCCACTAGAGACTACTGCAGTGTTACCTGTGCAAATGCAGTTTACTTCTTCCTATAAAACGCTTGGATCCTGGAATATTTGAAGGACTTTCCATTCTTTATAATTTATATTTACAGTCTAATCAAGTATCTTTTGTTCTAAGAGGAGTATTTAATGATCTAGTTTCAGTTCAGTACTTAAATCTGCAAGGGAATCGCCTGACTGTCCTCGGGAGTGGTGCCTTTGTTGGTATGACTGCTCTTCGAATACTTGATTTATCAAACAATAACATTTTGAGGATAACAGACTCAGGCTTTCAGCATCTTGGAAACCTGGATTGTTTGTATCTAGAAGGTAATAATTTAACAAAAGTACCATCAAATGCTTTTGAAGTACTTAAGAGTCTTAAGAGACTTTGTCTCATAACCATATGGAAGCAATACAGCCCTTTACATTTAAAGGACTTGTCAACTTGGAGTATCTCTTCCTGAAAAATTCTAGAATTAAAAATGTTACTAGGTATGGGTTTCCTGGAACTAATAATTTAAAACATTTGATCTTTAATCATAATGATTTAGAAAATTTAAATTCTGACACATTTAGCTTGTTAAAGAATTTATTTACCTTAAGTTAGAAACAGAATTATCAGCATTGATAATGATACATTTGAAAACATGGGAGCATCTTTGAAGATCCTTAATCTGTCATTTAATAATCTTACAGACGTACATCCAAGGGTCCTTAAGCCATTGTCTTCACTGACTCATCTTCAGGCAAATTCTATTCCTTGGGAATGTAACTGCAAACTATTGGGCCTTCGCGACTGGCTAGCATCTTCCGCCATTACCCTAAACATCTATTGTCAGAATCCCCCATCCATGCGTGGCAGAGCACTGCATTATATTAAGTGGACTGACTTTACAAATTGTATTACATCTTCTACAAATGTATCCAGAGCTTGGGCTATAAAATCTCTTCATATTCATCACAAGACCACTGCATTAATGATGGCCTGGCATAAAGTAACCACAAACGGGAAACATTTGGAAAATACCGAAAGCGTTACTTTCTGGGAACGAATTCGAACTTCTCCTGCTAGTAGATTTTTTCAAGAGAATACCTTTGCTAATCCACTAGAGACTACTGCAGTGTTACCTGTGCAAATGCAGTTTACTTCTTCCACTAACTTGAACTTGGAAGAAAACAGTGCTTTACCTATTGATGCTGCTTCAGTATCAGGGAAAACAGCTCTAATTTGTACCCAAGAAGTTGAAAAGTTGAATGAGGCTTTTGACATTTTGCTGGCTTTTTTCATTTTAGCTTGTGTTTTAATCATTTTTTTGATCTACAAAGTTGTTCAATTTAAACAAAAACTGAAGGCATCAGAAAACTCAGGGGAAAATAGACTTGAATACTACAGCTTTTATCAGTCGGCAAGGTATAATGTAACTGCCTCAATTTGTAACACTTCCCCAAATTCTCTAGGAAGCCCTGGTTTGGAGCAGATTAGACTTCATAAACAAATTGTTCCTGAAAGTGAGGCACAGGTCATTCTCTTTGAACATTCTGCTTTATAATTCTAGATATTGACTGTAAGGAAACTTGAGTGCCATTGATGGGAATAAAATTGAAGCTCCTTATAGAATTTTGAACTTTTTTTGAAATATGAATTATATGAGCTTAGCCTTAATAAATATATTTTTAATAACTTGTGAATACTGTATTCATTCAGTGGATATTTTTTTGATAGGTACTATGTTAAGTAGTAATAATAGTTAACATTTCTGTGTACCAAGTACTGTTCTAAACACTTCACATATATTTAATCTTTAAAAAGCCTTGTAAAGTTGTACTATTTACATTTTAAGGAAATCTAGGCAGAGTGAATTTGAGACACTGTCCTGTATTCTCAGTTTGGGATACTTTTTAGGTCTATCTGACTCCAGAGCCCATGCTTTTAATTTCACACTACTCTGCTAACTACTTGCTGGGGTTATAATTATGAACAACATGGACACAGTTCCTAATCTCAGTAGAGCTTGAAATCTAGAGGAGGAGACACATGGCTTTTGTACAGTATGGTAAGTACCACTATTGGAGTACCACTATCTGTTGTATGTGGGGTTGAGAGATGGCTGAATGGAAAAGGTGACAGTGACACTGGGTCATGAAGGGTATATAGAAATTAGCCCAGTGAAGAACTGACAAATGGGTGGTGGTAACATCTTATCAGAAGGGTTGAAGATAGGAGAAAGAATACTACTTTTTAGGTGCTAAAATTACATTACAACTGGAGTTGTAGGTGGTATTGTGAGATTTGTAGCTAAAGAGAACTATCAGATGAAGAAGGATATTATAAGTTCATTTTTTTTTCCCCATGGCAACAAGGAGCCATGGACGGATTTTAAACAATGGGTGACATAATGAGATTTACTCTTTAAAAAGTACACTCTTTCTGGAAGGAGCAGGAAGACTAGGGGCAGGATCATTTGGGTAGGAATCTGAATGACTAATCCAGGCAGAGATGATGGAGGCCTGGGCCAGAGTCCAATGAAGCAGAGAGCATAGGTAGATTCTGGAGCTACTTTGGAAGTATGATGAACTGCCTTGGTGACTGGCCAAGGGGTGGTGGGTGAGGGAGAAGTTAAAGATGTTAGGTTTTTGGCTTAGGCAACTTTGTGCTTCATTCATTGTGCAAAGGAAGCTAAAGGAGTAGAGATATGGGTGGGGCAAAATTATGTGTTCAATTTTAGATACATTGAATTTGAGGTTCATATCAGATCTCCAAATGGAAAATATCCAGCAAGCAGATGATTAGGAAAGAGGTCTTACCTAGTAAATGTCAGTAATTTTTAACCTTTCATCTGTCAAGTACACTGGAAGTATATGATACATTCTTAACAGTGAAAACAACCATTTGGGCCATGATTTTGGTAGAAGGTTAGTGAATAAGATGAAAGAGCCCCACCAAGAGATGTTAGTAGCCTTGACTGAAAATCTTTAATATCGATAGATGGTAACTGAAGTCATGAAAGTGATGTGATGCTTTTCTCCATTAACATATATTTATATTGGTATAGCACTCTGCAGAATATCAGGCATATATATAGTAAGTGCCCATGTCCAATCTGTTAACAGTGACTCAAGCCATATATATGTATTAAAAATTTCCTCCTAAGCATTATATATTTCATGTTAATGCTATTCTTCCTCTTATCCCAAATTTATATTTTTATTACTAAGAGTTAATAGTATCCATATGAAATTAGCTTAAAACAGTCTGGTAGTCTCTAAATCAATTGTTAATTATTGAATTTGCACTGTGAAACTGAAATAATTATAAACAGGTGTGCTTAGCTACTTTGGAAGTATGATGAACTGCCTTGGTGACTGGCCAAGGGGTGGTGGGTGAGGGAGAAGTTAAAGATGTTAGGTTTTTGGCTTAGGCAACTTTGTGCTTCATTCATTGTGCAAAGGAAGCTAAAGGAGTAGAGATATGGGTGGGGCAAAATTATGTGTTCAATTTTAGATACATTGAATTTGAGGTTCATATCAGATCTCCAAATGGAAATATCCAGCAAGCAGATGATTAGGAAAGAGGTCTTACCTAGTAAATGTCAGTAATTTTTAACCTTTCATCTGTCAAGTACACTGGAAGTATATGATACATTCTTAACAGTGAAAACAACCATTTGGGCCATGATTTTGGTAGAAGGTTAGTGAATAAGATGAAAGAGCCCCACCAAGAGATGTTAGTAGCCTTGACTGAAAATCTTTAATATCGATAGATGGTAACTGAAGTCATGAAAGTGATGTGATGCTTTTCTCCATTAACATATATTTATATTGGTATAGCACTCTGCAGAATATCAGGCATATATATAGTAAGTGCCCATGTCCAATCTGTTAACAGTGACTCAAGCCATATATATGTATTAAAAATTTCCTCCTAAGCATTATATATTTCATGTTAATGCTATTCTTCCTCTTACCCAAATTTATATTTTTATTACTAAGAGTTAATAGTATCCATATGAAATTAGCTTAAAACAGTCTGGTAGTCTCTAAATCAATTGTTAATTATTGAATTTGCACTGTGAAACTGAAATAATTATAAACAGGTGTGCTATGTTGTCCATTATAACTTAAGACAGTGCTTCTCAAACTCAGAATCACTGGAAAGTCTTGTTAAAACACATGGTGCTGCTCCCTACCCCTCCCAGAGTTCCGGATTCAGCAGGTCTGGAGTAGGGCTTGTGAGTCTGCGTTTAACAAGCTGGCTGATGCTGCTGGTCTGGGGATCATGCTTTGAGAACCACTGCCTTAAGATATTTGATTTGAGAGAAAAGCAGAAAGGAGCTGAGAAGTGCTTTTGGGATATACTAGAAATTGCAGAGAAATTAAAGCTGCAGTTCACCCACCCCTGCCCCTAAGATTTTTCAGTGTATTCCTTTTCCCAACCTAGCTTTGTCCTTGATTATGATTTTAGCAGAAAACATGAGTATATTTTAAATAAGTTTGTTCTTACATAAATTAGTTATTTCATTGTGGAAAACTATGTGGTATTTGTTTCACCTGAAAAGATATTTTTAATAATATACTTCTTTTTTTACTGTTTCTTCCCAACTCCTGCAACTCCAATTAAGTTTTTAATTATTGAAAGTACATATTCACTGGAAAAAAGAATTCAAGCAATAACTAAAATATTTAAAGGTAAAAACCTCTCCATGTCACCATTCCCCAGCACCTAAACTCCATCCTCTTAAAGGTATTTAGGAGCAGCATAAGTGACTTTTTAAAGTTAGGAAAATTCCAGTTAACAGAGTATCTTGATGTTAAAATTTTCCCCATTCATAGAAGGTAATTTAGAAATTCTATCAGTTTTTTTATATCTAGTTTCTGATTGAAATCAGGCTCAACTAGACAACTAATCTTATTAATATCAATTTTTATATGGAACTGTGGTTGAACACAGTGAAATTAAGTGTTCATTCCAGCTTTTATCAGCTGTTCCTTTGAAAAATGTTACCAAATCCACATTTTACTGTTGACATTTGTACAGTTTTAAAACTTAAGGTAAAACTGATTTGAAGTGATATGTGAATAGATGTTTCTGGCTTAAATTTCTGTATTTCATTATTAACTTATTTCATAAGTTAATATAGCTAAAGAAGTTCACTCTTCTTAAGATTTCTGTATTTCTCTACCGTTTAGTAAAAGTTCTTGGTTAGAACACTCAAGATAGACTCCACCTTTAAATGGTTGTGTTTCAGAGGATAGTTTTAGATACACATCCAATTTTTTTCCATTATATTTTATTAAAGGTGGTTAAGGTTCCAGGGCTACCAAAAAAGTCCCCACCCCCTTCCCCACTACTTCCTATAACAAATGAGAAGTCTGGAACTCAACCACCGTTTATTTATAACATCAAAACTTTTAGATACATTGAGAATTCCAATGTGGAATTTCAGAAACAGGTATCTCATATCTGGGATAACTGGAAATTTACTCTTAATCCTCTTCCAGCAATGGAATTGAGACATTTGGTATCAGATTTTGGGGGAGGGCTTCTGTGGTATTGGATAGAGACTTCAACAGGAGTGAGCAGGAAATAGAAGGTTACAGGTGGTGGGCCTTGGGGGAGAGTGAAGGAATTGTATAGAACCTGTAAGAAGCAGGGAAAGAGGATCTCTGGATACCTCTTTGTTTTCCATCAACTTCTTTTTACTCTGAGGGGAGCTCTTGACTTCCTCATGCATAGAGTTTCAGCATTTGTTGATTCATTCTGCCTCATGGCCACCTGTATCTGAAGTAAGCAACAGTGGGCAGTAGTCTCTTCCTTCAGTTACCTTGTATTTTAGGGATCCTCCAAGCAGTGGTAGAGTCAAATCAGATCCCACCTGTACTAATGTTAATACATAACAAATATTTGCTCTTGGACTGCACACACATATTTTTAAAACTGTTCACTGATCATATAAACCACATACAGCAGTGAACACGTCTGCATAACTACCACTCAGGTCAAGAAATAGAACATTCGAATGTGTAATGTATATGTAGACATTTCTTAAATTTAAGAATTATATAAACACTCAACTGTCAAAGCTATGAGGTGGAGGAAGATCCCCATGTAATTGGGTATTTTTACTCAATTCTTTTATCTGTACCACGGCAATACCAGTAAAGTCTATCCTTTGTCTTTGTTTTTAAGTAGTGTAAAAATGGGAGAAAAAGCCTACAGAAGTTAGGATCCTACTACTTTACTTATTTTCTGTTAATAAAAGTCCCCTTTTGGTCATATAAATCATGTTTTTTAGAGCACATTGTCTTCATTTTGGTCTGAACTGTGTGATATTCAACACTTCCCCAGGAATTTAACGCCAAATTACAAGTGCTTTTTCATTTAACTTGAATAACATTAGAACAGTTGACTCTTCATTGGTCCTGAAAGTATGTATTCATGATTACTTTGTAATTGTTTATTGTATAGCTTTGTATTAACAATGTCCAACATTTACAATGGTGAGGTCAAACCCTCAACCCCACAATTACCAAATCTCTATGAAATTTTTTTATATCCCTTTTTAAAAAACATGAACCAATCTGTCCAGTAACTCCTGTAAGTAACCAAAACAAGCGTTGATGGTTTTTTTCAGTCTAATCTCTTTTCTAAACAGTTCTGTA